CTAGGACCTTGAGGAACTCCGGCCGGATCTCATCCACCCCTGGGGCCCTGCCACCGAGGAGCTTTTTAACCACCTCAGCGACCTCACCCACAGAGATTGGAGAGCTCAGTCCAGAGTCACCAGGCCCAATTTCCTCAATGGAAGGCATGTTGGTGGGATTGAGGAGGTCTTCGGAGTATTCTGCCCACCGACCCACAAAGTCCCGAGTCGAGGTCAGCAGCACACCATCCCCACTATAAACAGTGTTGGTGCTGCACCGCTTCCCCCTCCTGAGACGCCGGATGGCGGACCAGAATCGAAAACCAACAGAAATGGAAAAAAGTAGCCCAGACAGGTTGGAGTAGAGCTTTAGCTTCTAAACATAAAAAGGATTCAGTAAGGGTGCATCTCATCGGGATGCTTCTTGAGCTTGCTCCTCTCAAAATTCTCCCACTGGGAGAAGACCTGTGTTGGACACAAAACCCACTACAAAGTATTTGTACCTTCGAGGCAGCAGAATGTCTTACGATCAACCAGAATGAGTCGGAGTCTCGCTAAGGATAGTGAACTCTAGACCCGTTACCCCACTGACCAGTCTCAGCTAAGCAAACACCATTAAATAAATGAGTGACAGATGGACAGACAAGGCAACTGAAATATATTGAAATCAGCATATTTTTAGGTGTATTTTATCACTTTTTTATGGCTGCATGGTGAAGTAAAAGCCATTTATGTAAATACCATCCTATAGATTTATAAAATAAATAATAAATTAACTTAATTGATCTCACAATGGAGAAATTCACTTTCTGCATTTAACGCATCCCCTTTGGGGAACAGCGGGCTGCCACTCTACAATGCCCGGGGGAGAAATCGGGGGTTAAGGGTCTTTGCTCAGAGAGCCAGAGTAGCAGTCTGTGGGAGTGGGTTTGGATCTCACAACCTCAGGATTCCAAGCCCTATGCCCTAAGCACTAGGCCCCCACTACCACCTATATTTCTTTCATGCATCTTTTTTCTGTTTCTTTTCTTTCCAAAACCTTGAGCAGTGACGAATGCTCCACAGTTATAAAACATTCAGCTACTTTTCTTCTTATTCTATCCTCAATTTTCTCTTGTTGTCCTTGAGTTTCCAGCATTTTATTCCCTCTAACTTCCCTTTCAGCCCCCTTTTTTATCTCCCTCTGTGTTACTCAAAGGTGGTTAAAAATAGCCTCTTGGCAGCTCAGGGTCTTGTGTCATCAGATTGGGTACTCGAACACAAGGGCACACACAGTGAACTGTAATCAATGTGTTTCTGCAACATTTGCCACCTAATTCATTCTTGTGGAAGCACACATGATCACAGATAATCAAAGAACGCCAGAAGTGATGGCCCTCAAAGGAAACTCTTCATCCTCTTGTTGCACTGGCATGCTTGTCTGTGGTTTGTTGTTAATCAGAGTTCCACTTGAAGAAACAATGGTTGCTTCAGAAAGACACAAGATTGTCAAGGAAAGATATATGAAGGGTAAACAGATGGAAGGAAAAAAAAATTATTCCTTTTAATGTCTAGTCATAAAAACTTGTCATGACTAGAATTCATTCATACCGTTTAGTGAAAGCCACACCCCTCAGCTGTAAACAGAGGAAGATATACTCCAAACCAACAGGCTTTGCATCTGCACACCACTGATAAGAATTATTACATGGAGAAATTCCAGATAATGTTCTGACATCCTCTTTTAAACAACGATAACTAATAAATCACAACAGATTCATCTGTGATTGTTCCAGAAACAAAAACAAATCTGTCATGATAAAATGTAATTTATAATACACTAAGATTTACGCAGAGACTGTGGAAAAGATACTCAGTTCAAACTGAAAACGATCAGGCAATGAACAATCTGCTGCTTGGGTTGCTTTGGTAACATAGTCTAGAGTTAAATATGGACCAAATATATTGTACCAATTTTGACCTGACCTCAGTGCATTTTCTACATCTGCTTTACTCTTTCAGGGTTGTCAGACGGTGAGTAACTCTCTCCTTTAGCCAGTGGGTGGATAAAGAGTGTGGATAAGTTACTTGTCTATCAAAAGGCAAGCAGCAGGGACAGAATATAAAAAAAAAACATGCACAGAAACAGTGACACCAGCAATGACAGGAATTTTCATTTCTCTCGCAAAAATGAGAATCATTATTTTACGCCGTAGATTTCAAATCTAAGATTTTCAAAGTTTTTTTTGCAGAGGGAATAAATAGTGCTAAGATCAAATAGACAAAAAAGGAGAAAGAAATTCCTATAGTCATATTCCAACATATCGAATTAGAAACGGATCCAATTGAGTCCAAAACTCCTACTCCTTAAAGACTTATTTTAACATTTTATTACTTATTAGACTCTTTCATTAAAAGGAAATGAGAACATACAGTAGAAGCGCATTACATGTTCCAAATTAAAAATACTATGCTTTTCTTTTTAAGGCAACTAGTAGTATTTGTTTGTGTGGGAGGCTACATCAGCAACTAAATTTGAATATTAATGTTGACTCAAACGTGAAAAAAAAAACTATAAAAAACAGGTATTTACAGTCCATGACTTTGGCAATGGCTGCCGTATATATCACTAATCAAACATCAGTGTTAGCTGTAATGAAACAGCAACAATAATTTCAAAATTAAGATTTGATGGTTATTTTCAATAAAAGCATAAAAAATATGTGACAAAAGGATGCTTGTTGGAAGGAGATGATAGTGAAGTTGATATGAAGATCATAGTAGGTGTTAATAGTCATCTAGAATGTTGAAAACAATGATATCATCCCATTGAGCAGCCCTACTCTCTTTTGTTGATTTACTGAGGTTATCAATATAGTAGCTTTGTTTGTAGTGAACAGATTGCTTCTAAATTAATATCATCTGACTAAAATATTTTTTTTCCAATATTGAAAAATTAAAAAGTATAAATAGTCTTTCTTTTCCAATTCAACAGACCAGATTACAATTTCAGTCATAAAAGTTGCATTAAAATGGTCTACTAGCACTGACCCAGATTTTTGGTTAACAAAATAACTACTGTTTTAAGAGCCGTAGTTAGATGGAACAGGGATGCAAAAAAAAAAAAAAAAACCTAATAAAACACAGAAAAGAAGGCAGTGATTACAATAAAATAGGAATGAGATGACATCTGCTCTGTCAGCTTAAATTATGACCACGTACTATCTTTTGCCGTTTTTCTTTTTTTTTTTTTTTTTTACAGGCCAACTGCTTTAGATGAAGATGTGAACAAGAGAGACAGATGGTGAAAAAAAGATGCAGGATCATGAAGAAGCTCAACTCAAGACATACAGTGGGACTGACCAGACGGACATAATTACTGAAATACAGAGAAATGTTAAACCACAATCTTTCCTTTGCTCATAGTTCGCTGTGCACTGCAGCTCACTATTCCTTCCCCTCATCTCTCCATTTTTTATTCTTCCTTTGCAGCACCCTCTGCCTCCATCGTTCCTTGGGTTCTGCTGCTTTTTCATTTCAAGCTTGACTGCAGACCTCAGTCTTATAGGTGCATGTGAAAAAAAAAATACAAAGAAGCAGAGAGCGAAAGAGGCAAGCAGACAGATGGGGAGTTTATGTCATCTGGTATTAGGGGGAGTAATAAAATCGTCAATAAAAAGCTGGAGAGTAACAACACATGTGGAAGTGGAAGGAACCGGATACAGAGGACACACAAGGAGAATGAGTGGTGAGGAAAAAGTACGATGGATGACTGAATGTAATAAGCCATGTTTTAGGCCACCGTATGAGAACAACCTGATCAAAAAGGGATCTCTGGCCCACACACCCATATTGGTGAAAGCACACACATATATGCAACCTTACAGACACACAGGCAGACACCTTATGTCCTGCTATCCTTACAGAGACTTTCTATTAATGTCCTTTTCAGTTGTATGGCCTAATCCAGACCGTTATACTACCCCTTACCATTACCAACATATGGTAACCCTAAACCCAGCCTAAACTCATCTCCCATCTTAGTTCTAAACCTAACCCCCAGCCCAAGAAGAGAACTTTTATTCATAGGAGCCAAGCTTTGATCCCCACAAGTACCATTAAGTCCCCACAATGTAGCACATTCCTGAAAAATTGTACCAAGAGCGTAATAAATACATCGCCAAACACACAAACACACACACACCAATTATGACCAACAGTTATGCCTCCCAGTGAGAAATGACCTACTACTATGATACAACACTGAAAAAAGCCCCAGGAAAAGCAGAGAGCACAAACAAAATCTACGAAATTGCAGGGAGTAGATAAATCCGCCAAGAAGTCAATACACTTAAAAAAAATAGATTCCAACCAATGTCATGCACTTGATAAAACACAAACACACACATATCTCTAGCGGAGACAACAAACACACACACATAAGCAACTCTAAAGCCACTAATATGCCCTGGCAGGTGGAATGCAAAATGTCTATGAGAAGGCAAAGGACAGAAGGTAATTTTAGATATGGTAATTTGGACAGCCAGCAGAATGTGCATGTGGGATTGCGAGACTGTCTGAGTGTGTGTGTATGCAAGGCAGTTATATTGCAGATAAACACTAACTAGCTGGGATGAAGCAAGATATACATGCACATAATTAGGACGCAACATCCTTGAGGCGGTGCTTTCTGCTGACCTTTAACCCCAAATGCATTTTTTTTTAATCTGAGGTAAACAAAACAAACATGGCAAAAAAGAATAATCAAACAAAAAAAGGACAAAAACGATGAATGTGAAAAAAAAAAGAAAATTCTGTGTTGTACATTAACTACGTAAAGTGCATTGGTATATGTGTTGGTTGAACAATAACAAAAAAGTCCTGCTATGTCAAGCTGAAAACAACAAACTGATTCAGATGCTGTGATGCAGTGAAGAAGACTTCAAGTTCAGCATTAGTGAGTTTTTTTTTTATCTCTGAGATTTAAGGAGGTATAAAATCACGTTAAGTAATCTCTGAAGTCATTCAGCAGAGATAACAAAGAGGGTAAACATAATACTGCAAAGTTATTCTGTTTAATCCAATTAAACTTTATTTGTTTGTGGAAAAAAGCAGAATTAGCTAAATCTTTATAATGCCTTTTCCCAGTTTATATATAAAGAAACTCCAATCTAAGAAGGTAGAGGATGTGCTCTAATAAAGCACATTCATCAGATTAAAGTCCCTTTTGAAAGTAAGCTTTAAACAGGTATTGAACATACTGCAGGGCAATGTTTTTGTATAAAAAATGTTATTGGTCTTATATTATATTATAACCTTAACTATATTTTTTAGGAAATCATTAACAGCAGATATAAAGTCTTGAAAAAGCCAGTTTGTGTATAATACATCTATAAGCGGTGTTTCACTTAGTGACCTGAGTTAGTGGCATGAATCCACTCGTTTAGTCTAATTGAATGAATATAACTGAAAAAGATTTAAAATAAAGAGATTTACAGAGAACCAGCAATACAAAATAGTAGCATTCAATTACAGGACAAGTCTCCTATGAAAGATACCACAGTTGCTTTAAAATAAGAAATCTGTAAAAAATTTTCACTGACGCAGTCAAGACTGGTTGTTCTGCAACCAATTCCAAGGTCGAAAGTCAATTTCAACATTTTAGAATTTTTTTTTTTTTATACACCACCAAATACAAAAATTAACTGAACAATGGTTGCTAATCTACCAAAATTATTTCTAGCTATTAAACGAATAATTGCCATAGGTTCACATCCTCTAAAGTTAATTCATTGGTTTACATTGCGCAATAGTTTTATAATTTTTATAATTTTAGAAAACAGCATGAGTAATAAATCTTTGTCACATCTAAAAATAAATGTTTGCAAGGAGTGTGTATACATAATTTTTTAGATAATTACAAACACTTAAATAAGTACTTATTGCCAATATCACTGATAAAATATATCTGATTTAGAGCCAGTTGTAAAAGTGCAAAACTTCTTTATAACAGTTTTTTTTTCTGCCAAGCAGAGTTATTTTTTTTTTTTTTACCACACTTAGTATAAATAAAAGTACAACTGGCACTTATTTCTTGTCCTCATAACATGGACACCACAAAGTTTGCTCCTCCTAAAAATACATACCATGGGCGTATCACTATATTTATCTAAATCAATCCAGGGGATTTGCCAATTACATCAAACCACAGTGGATTTTTGTCATGGTCTGCTCAAAATGTAACCTGCTTTGTCCATTCCTAATACTCTCATAGCTGAAAACTATCAGTAACCAGTAGTCACATTTATAGCTTTGGTGTTTAGACAAAGGATTACCAGAGCTATGTGGAAATATTTTATTCAACATTGAGAAAGACCTTTAAAAAAGCAAAGGTAAGATTTAATTCATGCTTCATGAAATGAGCACCATTGTTCCCCTTCTCCCTAGAGTCACCCAGAATATTAGATACAAGTCAGAGGGGGGGGATCTCATGCTGCCCTAAACAAGAAACTGCCCCTATCAGATAACATCCACTGATATTGATACTATTGAAAAGCAGGTTAGAAAGTAGAGTTTGAATATCAAAGGTTGATTGCTTTGCTATTAGAATGGAGGTGCAATGGTGTTGGCATGTGTTTTTGCAGTATATAGCATCTATATATTGTTTTTATAAAAAATGTGTATTTGCTTAGTGTTAACATTGAGTTTTGTTCATGTCTGATTAAGTATGATTTGATCAAATTGTCTCTGTAAAGTGCCTCAAGATGATATGTGTTGTGAATTGGTGCTATATACATTCAATTAAATAAATAATTTATCAAACCGAGGACATGTCTATGGTAAGACCAAAGCGAAGGCAAGACTGCATGGTGCTGTAAACATTCTCGCAGGAGATTTTTTAGTCATCATGAGCAATAGCTGTATTAAGTCTGAGATGGCAGGATCCAGCTGTGCTCTGATAATTTTTTTTTCTTTTTATTATTTACTTAAGTTTAATGTGTGTCTGAAGGGGAAGATCAAAGGGAGTAATATTCTATGTGATTATATTTATTACTATTATTATTAGTCTTAAATCGCTGTTAAATACAATTTCTCAAGGACTGAGAAAACGAGACCAGGGCCAAGTCTGAGTCATAAACATCCAATATCGAGACCGGATAAAAACAGGCCAAGACCGACTTGGAGACCAAGACTGGACTTGAGAACTTAAATAACCTAAATTGTCTTTCACTTTCACAAATGTTTGCTCCTGAAAGACAAAAATAAATATTTCCATTCACGGCCAGTCATATGCTGTCATATCTTTTTGTATGCATTAGTTCTTTAATGAAAGAATTTGTTAAACTTGGAATCTAGGTAAAATCTGTCCATAACTGGACACAGTAAATCAGCTGCAAAACACTAAACATTATATGCCTAGTAATCATTGAAATTCATAATGCAAAATAATATCTTCCAATAGAAGAAAATTTTATTCGATTGCATCAACCAAATACCATGAAAAAGCCTTGTCTCTCGGAAAAGAACAAACACTGACAACACCTACCTTTTCCAGGAGGGGCAGCCAGGCAGTGACGAGGTGAAGATTTTTCAAGCAAAGCCAGTCTCCATTTCGAGAACATTCTCTAAGTGCAGCCAGGGCCACATCAGCCTGTCCCTGACCCATGGAGATCTAGGCAGGTAAAGAGAAGAAGTAGGTGGGAGGGGGGTGACAAATGGAATCAGTGGGAGAGAAAATCAGATTTTGTCCTTTAGTGTAATGCTGGTTTGAAAAGTGCTAAACTTTTATTCAATATTCTAATCTACTCTGCTCAGTCAGTTTTTTTTGAACAGAAGAAACAGAAGAAAGTCAAACTGAACTTATGATCTATATTGTTATTATATGTGTAACAGAAATACTGCATTAGAGTAAATATAACTTTTATGCAAGACACCCGTCTGTCAATGCAGCCAGTAGAACATAGAGAATTATAGTGGTTGTTGGAGAATATACAAACACTCATTGGGGCACAAATGTACTTTAATACAATATAGGCTTTAACGTATGAATTTTGAATCAAAAAATCAAATGTGCCCTTTAAAAAGATTTAGTATTTAATTTAATTTTTTTCTCCAATGCACTTATTGTGCTACTATTGCCATAACTGACATTAACTTGTCACTTTTTGGTTTTAGATGTATACTTTACAACTGATAAAACCAGCTCATTGTGAACATTCACAATGAACTCGAAAGGGGCCAATTGTCTGCATGGTTACTTTGCTTTGATCACCTGACATTCTGCCTCTTTTGCTTAAAATTTGCCAAGACACTGTGTTGAGTGTTCATTAAGCTCGCTACACCGCATCATCAAATAAGAGGGCCGTCTATGTACTTGCCAAGTCATCTTCTCTGTTTAATTGACCTTGGTAGAGCTGAATTTTACCGAGCAAGTCACAGCGCTTTATGTGATATGGAAAGCCGAACAACCCCTTTGTATCTCTGGCTCCACCATTCCCCAATTTTGGCAAGAACCACTACCGGCTCTTTGATCTGCTACTGAAGGATTTCTTTCAGCTGGACTTCTACCAGCCAAGGATCCAGTATCACATTACCAAAATAGAGAAACAGATTAGCGTCATCTCTAATGCTTAATCTATACTGCAATTCTACACCTATGTCACAACAACATCCAGTCCCCGATTGGCTAAAGAAACGCAAATAAAGAACTTCATGTTTTTCAGCTATGTCCTTGTGTTCACCTCACCTACTCTCATTGCCACTTAAAGAAAGGTTTAGGGTGTGTCCAAACATCCATTCTAACCACTATGTAGAGCACTATAGGCTTTTTATAAGAGAATCAAAATGTTTAGTGGATGAAAAAGTAGTGGACTCAAACTTTCCCAGAAATTTCCTTGAGAAGCAGTGGGCATCCATAGTCACTAGACGAGCAGATATATCCTAGAATGCTTTGTAAGAGCTCTCCTCGCAAAGCATCATATGGATTCGTTTTTGGGACGAGAGAACAAAGATGGAGCGGGGAGTAGGAGTCACGTGACCAACGGGGAGCAAAAATTAGTGGTGATCTGTTTCGAACCATCAGTTGACTTAGTTCACTACAACGTCCACTATATAGTCCATGCTTTATGTAAGATGTATGTATGATTGAGGGCACGCATGGCAAAAGTAATGCAGTGATGCTGTCTCCACCAAGCATGCAAGCCTCACTCAAATGGGGGGATTCAAAGAAGTCCTTGCTGAATAAATTACTTCTGTAATGACATCAAATGACCGAGAAGTAACAAGTGGCACAATTTTGTTAAATGCTATGCTGTTACTGCTTATTCTTTGACTCAAAACTGTATTTGTAAATTACTGGTATACTGTTAGTGTATTCTTGAACCCTATAGGCTTTACAGAGAGACCGTATTACCTGCCATCACCTCTTTCTGTGTGCAACAGATCTTCTACATCACTATCCCTCAGTTTGTTTCTGTCTGACTGCCACAAACATCTCTTTTTACTGCATGTCTATTGGTTATATTGAGTACTGCCCCTTGTGGTGTGGATAATACGGCACCTATGGCTGTGTCAAGTATAAATGTCTAGAGCACTTCTATGGGCTTGAACCAAGAATGCACAGATCAATGTGACCACCCCACCCATGAGAAGAACTCATTTTTCCCTCTTTCCACATATATTCCCTGTCTATTATCATGCCGCTTTGCTTTTATCGCTGAATATGAGCAATTCAGATAACTCAAATTACATCCTTTTTGCCTCGAATGCTCCTTTACATAGGGATAACATGGACATCACTTGCTGCTTGTAAATGTACCAACTCAAAACATTTTGCATGTCATATTGGCATCATTTACAATGTGCAGTTGTGCATCAGTTCAACAACAGTAAATATGACCAACAGATTGATGCAACTTTAAAATAAAGACCAAAGATAAAATTATGTTGACGCTAAAAATAATCTGTAAAATAGACGTTTTTTATATGTGTGCATTTGTTTATTAATAAATCAAAAAACAGAACCATCACTAATGTGGACAAAAAAAAAAGGAAAAATAGAATTATGTCTTTTTGTCATAAGTTTGTATTTGTGACAGTGTTCTTTTTGAATGTTTAAAAAAAACACATAAAATGAAATGTATTTATGAATAAGAAACCTGGGTTCCAAATATTTGAGCCTATATGTATGAGTTAACTAGATATTCCAATATATATTTAAATTAGAGCACAAACTTGGAATTCTTAGTTTACTAAAGTTTTACATCGGGGAAAAACCATATAGGTATACATAAACTTGACTTAGTTGTCCTAATACAATATGAAAATACTATAAATTCCTGTTAACAGCTACTTTTCTTGTGAAACATTACAAGACCTTTATGATAGAACAAATACAAGGGATTTACATTGAAACTGTGACAAACAAAAACCTTCAACAAGTTGCGGTACACTATTCTGTGGATGTGATTGTATTATTCTGGTGAAAACCCTCTTGCACTTGTTAATCTCCTGTGTTTTCTATATTTGTATTTTGCCGTTACCTACCTCATGGTAATTGTCCCTGCCAATAGTTTCTGCTGCTAGTTCTGCAAGCTCCTGGGATGGGTCTGCCCCTGGAGAGATGATGATTAACACCGGCTCCCACTCCATTGTCTCAGTGTATAGACGTCGTAAATTGAGAGGAGGAGGGGAAAGCTCTTTCATACCTGCAGAGGAGGAGGGGACAGAGGTTAAACAAGAATGAGAAATATGCATCAGTAAAATGTCTATATCATTTTTCTCTTTCCCAATTTTGTTGTGGAACAATGTCTCTTCAATGAAGGGAAGTAACCCACCAAACTCTTATGTCAATTTGGCATATTGACAATACTGATAACTCCAGTTGATATCGTACTAAGAGTCAAAGATACACTGCTTATATGCAGTCGGTCAACAGATATATAAAAAAAATCAGAGTATATCAACAAAAGACAATTGAAGGCAAATACAAACAAATATGAGCAAAAACTCATTCGGTGTACTTAAGGTGTGGTAGGCATGGAGGCAGACTGGCAAACGTCAAATACAGGAAAGCATGAATAGGGAGAACCAAGTAGGCATGTGGGGAGAGTAATTGCCGAAAGATGGGGAAACCGGGGGCTAGAGAGAAGGCAATGACGAGGAAAGGGAAAGGGCAAAAAAGGAAGAAGCTAAGAAAGAGAGTGAGGGAGACGGGGAGGGTGGCGTGCTATGCATATTGAGCGGTAGGTTTGCGGCAGCAGAATTCACCACGCAGCAAAAGAGTACCTTGTCTGCCAGCTGGTGTTTAGAGAACAGGCTCTTATATGTAGGTGTGACTAAGTGTGTGATTGGGTTTGCATTGCTTCACTGAAACCTTTTTGCTCTAATAATATATTGATTTTGATGGTGAGGTATGAGTCAACAATGAAATGCTTGCAAGAATACATGCCCACACAACACCAGTAGTTGTGTAGGAAATTCCCATGAGATGTTACCCTGAAGATGTATTCGAAGACAAACATCTCTGTGTAAATGCATGCACGCATTGCACACAGTACTGTCTGCTCTGACTGAGGTGGAAAACAGACCCTAAACATTCATTGGGTGTGTGCTGTCATATGAAACGAGTTTTCCTATTGTTTGCACATTGTGACATGCACAAAGTCTATATAAAAAGTCTGAATCACTTTAATAAAACAATGAATGAAGATCTGCATAAAAAAATGCATATAAAAAAAGTAAAGTCAGGGTCAGATAATCAGTATTCGTGCTGCAGCCAAGCATCCTCTGCCTGTGAATAGAAAAGTTCACCTTGGACCTTAGAACACATAACTGAAAACAGGTTGAAAATAACAGCAGAGGATAACACCAGTCTCACTAAGGCTGCTGCCAAGGCCAAGACACAGATTCTATTTAATATTTTTGAAGTTCTCCACCATAATCACTGTGTGTATATATATAGGTGCAAAATATTTTTACTTTTTGAAAAGCATTGCATATGTGTGTGTTGTGTTCACCGAGGCATGCCTCTGTGTCTGTGTGTATGCGAACAGAGAGCAGTGCCCAGGCCTGGACTGGAGGGATTGAGTGAGATTAGCTGTAAGAGGATTACAGAGCATGCCTCATTAGCATACTGATTTACTGCCAAAAACACAAACGCATACACAAAAAAATCTTCCGCTGTCCTGTTCTGATGTTTCATCCCTCTGTATTGCATTTCTGTGGGTTTTTGTTGTGCTGTTTTTTTTTTTTTTCCAATTACAAAACCATACATAATCTTACACATCTCATGCATTATACACACACTCAGTGAATCAGTTCACTGAGAGTTCGAGGGCTATCAGTGTATCATGATTAAGTGAACAATTTATTATCATCACCCATAGACAAACAATAAAAGAGAATTATAAGGGATCCCAAAGCTTTGGAGGAAGACACTGAAGCAAAGTAAATAATGATCCTGTCAGAGGGATAGCATGATATGCACCAAAAATCTATGTGTAAAGAAAGACACTTACATACAAGACAATACAAAAATTCCTCTTTTGTAATAGATATTGAAAAACCCCCAAAGGTGAAAAAAAATGTCCCCCCGGAAAAAACGGACTCCAAGGATTCATGTACGGTTTTAATTGTTATTAAAAGTGTTGAAGAGGCAAATAAAAAAAAAATAAAATAACATCACATCACATCGCATATCTAAATTAAAAGAGCTCTCTATTTACATTGTGTGAACACAGCGGGCAGACAGCTCAAGCTGATGAAGACACGTCTACATTTCATGCCAAATAAACTGTTAAATATAACTAGACATGCCAAAAAACACCAGTCAAGGCTTATTAGTAGAACTGCAACATTAATTGTGTGGTTAGCATAAAAAGCAATAATCCCCAAACAACAGCAAGTCAAAAATACAAGGGATTTGTTGTTTGTTTATTTATTTCTACTGATTTAAAAACTGATAAAATGTTAATAACTGCCTTTGTTTGACATTTTCTAAAACTTTTTGTGTTGCTTTAGGGTACAAATAGTCAATAACATACTTCAATTTAATCTGTGCTGTGCAATCTGTCAAACTGGGTTTATTAAGCCAACAAAGAAAATATCATCAAAAAGTGATATAACCCTTTATGTCTTACTTGAACAAAGTTCTAGTGCTGTTGTGCTACTGTTTCAAAATGATAGTACTTTCAAAACATTACTGTAATGGTACTTCACATAAAAACGATTTTAAATGAATTTGCAAGTTTTTTTAAGTTGCAGTTTAGTTCCTCTATCCTGTAGTTTTTTTGTTTTGTTTTTACTTCCTGGTTGCATCTTATGTGGGAGTTTGTGTGAGAAGCAAAGAAAGGAAATCCTAAGACAAATAAATGATATAAAAACTGATAAAACCTAAACTAAACTCAAAACTAAAACCACGGTGGGTACTCTCCTGCAGGTTTTAGGCTACGTTCACACGCTCAATACCCAATTTTTTTCTGAAATCCGATTTTCTTTTGTGTTGACGTTCACATTTACAAATATATAACACTTATATGTGATCTCCTGTGTGAACTGCATTCATACAACGCAAGTGTCCCGCATGCACAGTAGAGGACGCAATGAAGTCAAAAGCAGGTGTGCTCTGTGTTTACAAAAGTAAACATGGATGGTAGTGCTGGAGCGCATCTAGCAATCTTTCCCAACGCTCAAAACGCAATCTTTTTAAGATAATTAAGAAAAAAGACTGCTCTCCACATTATCTTCCAACATTGTTGCTGTTTTTCTTCCAGCTTCGGCATAGCAAGACGCAGAATAGTGACCATTGTTGAGTATTAATGACGTTCAGGTTGGATAAATGCGACCTGGCCGTTTAGACACAGGTCACATTTGAAAATATCAGATATGTATCGGATTCAGGACCACATAGCCAAGTGGCTTCAGTAGGATTGCTAAAAATCAAATCTGTGTTGTTCAGAGTGCCATAAAAAGACCAGATAAAGGTTGAATTTGGGCAAAAAAATCGGATTTGGGTCACTTCAGGCTGCAGTGTAAACTTAGATGTTTCCCTGCTTCAGCACAGCTGATTTTCATTTATAGATAATTAACAAACTGCAATGATGAAAATCCCCTGTGCTGAATGCAAGAAACCTCAAAAACCTGCAGGACAGTGGCCCCCGGGGACCAAATGTGGACATCCCTGCCTTAACCACAAAATTCTATTTAATTTAATTCAGTTCAGTTTATTTATGTAGCAGTACTTCACAACAGATTATCTCAAGACACTTTATAGGGACGACTTACAAATTAATATATAATTTAAAGAAACATAGTCTGACAGCGATTTGAAGCAATGGCCATAAGAACCCATAATCAGACGATTAAATGAGGGTTTTTAGTTATGGTCTGTTATTGCGGCACTAAAACAAGATGCATGTGAATGTTGTAATTAGATGCACATGGGGTTACATGGTATACATGGAGTATAAACATGTTTTAAAGGGAAAACAAGTGACAGAACAATAATATTGGAAGCTTAGGGATTTGCATTATCATTTGAACACATGCAGAGTATAATCATATTATTTTTTCTTGTTAATGTTTTAATTTCACTTTAGAAAAGTTCAATAATATTGTAGAGAAACCTTAACCAATTTGATAATTTGAGCTAATCCAGTTTAAATGTTTAGCTTCTATATTAATTCCAATCAGACTGAATTAATATCTTTCTATAACAGACAGGATTTCACAGCTTGTGCTCATTGTAAAACAGAAGGTGTCAAAAGGGCTGGATGCAGCTGTAAAAATATGTCTTTTATCTCATAATTTAATATAAAAGGAGCACACCATTCTGATAACATAACTATATTCCCCTTCATTTTGCAGTTCTAGCCATACTGTACTTTATGTTTTAAGGAACATCTCCCATTAGTCAGGGCTGTAACTTCAGGATTCTGCAACCACTGTAGGCCTTTGGGGCTAAATGTGTTTTTCTGGTCATTCCTATGGTGGGTTTTTTTTTTGCACCGAATACATTTCTGCTGGATGTCAAGCTGTAAAAGTTACTGCTTTTTTATAGCTAAAAGATTTATCAAAACTTTTTAGTAGGAACTATAATAAGTCCCCTTTAAGACCAGTGTATATTTCCTAAAACTTCAGCTATTCGGAAAAATTTTATTTATATTGTATTGTAAAAGGAAAACTAAATTACAAATCATTGCTGTAAATATTAATTCATTTTAGTGCTTTTATTTATTTACAACAAAGTAAGGGAGATGAAACCCAACATGGTCTCATTTTAATCATGTGGAGCTAATTAAAATATGCCAATGAGAGTCAAACTTGAAACACTACGACGTTAATAGTTATACGCTCCCAGTAGAGGTATGTTTCACATGTTTCTAGCGGAGATGTCCCCACAGTTGCAGTGAGACGTTTCTAGCTCAAGATAAAAAAGAAGTCAAATAAATAAATAATACAGGAACCTGAATCAAAACATGCAGAGGAGCAACAACAAAAAAACAACTGGTAGGCAGGTGTCCTGGGAACTTCTTAAGTACTGAAAAATGTACAATTTTTCATGGGTATTAATAGCCTTGTCATATATGAGGACCAAACTATTCTCAGTCACTTTGTTAAATGTAGACATACATAATTTGGTGTGACATTTACCAGTCATCTACATTTATCTTGCTTACAAAGACTGAACATTTATACGTCTTATTAACAGGTATTATCTTTTAATGCTGCCATGATTATCAGTGAATTTCTATTCTCTGCTGATTTGTGTGGCAGCTTTATATTTTTCTCACAGCCATTTATAACCAAGCTACCTCATAAAATTACAGGTGGTATCACCCTGTTAGGTTGGGGAAATTGGATATTTCAAGGACACCTATGATACACGCTGTAAAGCCCTGCTGCTAGGCTTTTAGTCAAACAGGAAACTGTCCTCAGGTTTGTTTTAATCCAGAGGTTGAGATCAACCCAGAGAGTTTAAAACTTGTGTACTTTAGCTCTGAGTGTTTCTCTAAGTGTACCTCTGTTTGGTATTCTTAGAAAGCATCATAGCTGAAGGTTCCCATGCACTGAAAATGTTAAGAGTGATTACCATTTAGGCTGTAACCATTACAGGCTACGGAGAGTCCTCATCATTGCCACTCCGGGAAGGTCCTTTAAGACTGTTGGAAAATCATTTAAGGTAACTGCCTCCTGAAGCTTATTTAGTGTGATTAGAAGCAAACAAAACACATTTAGAAAATATAAAGCATGTTTTGAAACATCTCACAATTATTGGTTTGATACATCCTTATGCTTAATTGATATCTTCACCATAACTCAGCTATGTAGAATAATAGAAATATGGGAAAGTCCTTGACTTTCTTCCTGAAATGTTTCTTCACAATGCTGCTTAGAGTTAACTTGCCACCAGTGTTTAAGTTCTCATTTAAACCACAGCGCATAATGAAGACTATCTGTAATATGAGATCACTTAACACTGTATATCATACGTGTGTGCATGAAAGGAGCACATGCTGGTTTTTGTTTTTCAATCAGTACATGAGACTAAAAATAACTTGAGCACAAAGCAAAATGTGTGTGGGTTTATGTACAGTATGTGACATTTACACAAGTACAGTGACATTCACATAGAAGTGAGTGCGCTTTTAATAAACAAAGCATCCTTCAGTACAGAATGAGAAAAATATTTTTTACCTGCTTTGGAGTCATGCTTCTCAAACATTTTATGTTTCCTTTACGAAAGTGACTTTATTTGTAATAGGTAAGAAGCAATAATATAAAACTTTATTCAATCTTAATGAAATGTGCTTTATCCATGGCTCCCCAGTC